ATGTATACATATATATACAAACAATATATAATGATATATATCTATATTAATTAATATAATCTGTATTTGGCTTTTGGATTTTATTTTTGGTCACGTTTTATGTGAGAGTCATGGTAGTTTTCTAAAATGTAAGGAAAAGGACTTAGAAATGCAGTGTTCTTTTTAATTTGCAGTATCTTTTTAAACTTTTTTATTCTTGCCATCTTTATTCAACTATTTCCTAGTATTGTTAACTAGACTAAGGGCCTTGAGAAAAGAAAATGTGTCTATGTTCACCACTACATACCTACTGTCAAGAACACATATGGAACATTATAAGGGCTCAACAAATATTTGATGAGTGAATGAGCAGGTTTCTCTCAGTCTGGTCTCAGACCAAACACACATAGTTGTTACTCAGCCTGCAGGGATTTTTTTTTGGGAGGGGGGGCATGCACTTACTTTTTATTTTTTATTGTTATATTTTTCAGTCAAGATCCAGCACATCATTAGTTTTCTTTTTTTTTTTTTTAGGTTAAATTTTTAAAATTTTTATTTAATTTTTTTTAAATTTCTTTTCAGTGTTCCAGAATTCATTGCTTATGCACCACACCCAGTGCTCCATGCAATTCATGCCGTCCATAATACCCACCACCAGGCTCACCCAACCTCCCAAACTTCTCCCCTCCAAAACCCTCAGATTGTTTCTCAGAGTCCTCAGTCTCTCATGATTCCTCTCCCACTCCCGTTTCCCCCAACTCCCTTCTCCTCTCCATCTCCCATGTCCTCCGTCTTATTCCATATATTCCACAAGTAAGTGAAACCATATGATAATTTCCTCTCTCTGCTTGACTTATTTCACTCAGCATAATCTCCTCCAGTCCCGTCCATGTTGATGCAAAAGTTGGGTATTCATCTTTTCTGATGGAGGCATAATACTTCATAGTATATATGGACCACATCTTCTTTATCCATTCATCCGTTGAAGGGCATCTTGGTTCTTTCCATAGTTTGGTGACCGTGGCCATTGCTGCTATGAGCATTTGAGTATAGGAGGCCCTTTTTTTCACTACTTCTGTATCTTTGGGGTAAATACCCAGTAGTGTAACTTCAGGATCATAGGGAAGCTCTAGTTTTAATTTCCTAAGGAATCTCCACACTGTTTTCCAAACAGAGAAAGGGCTGATATCCAAGATCTAGAAAGAACTCCTCAAACTCAACACAAACAAAACAGATAATCATGTCAAAACATGGGCAGAAGACATGAACAGACATTTCTCCAAAGAAGACATACAAATGGCTAACAGACACATGAAAAAGTGTTCATCATCACCAGCCATCAGGGAGATTCAAATCAAATCCTCATTGAGAAACCACCTTCCACCGGTTAGAATGGCCAAAATTAGCAAGACAGGAAACAACGTGTGTCGGAGAGGATGTGGAGAAAGGGGAACCCTCTTACACTGTTGGTGGGAATGCAAGTTGGTGCAGCCACTTTGGAAAAGAGTGTGCAGGGATTTTTTTGATTTTCTTCTTCCTTTATAGTCTATTCAGGACTTAACAGCTTTTTAATTAATTCTTTTAATTCTTTTATCTTTTAATTCTTTTAGTTTTTAAAAATTCTTTTAGTCTTTGAGTTAAATCCTATCATTCCTGTGCTCACAAGCTTCTGCTGTTTTCACATCTAAGGCAGCGTAAAACCAGTGAACTCTGAATCACCTCTAAGGCTTTTCATGGAAAATCTTGGCTTTACTGTGGCCTCATTTATTTTTCTTTTCCTCGACTATTCCAGTCCAGCTATCCGGCCCTCCTTGGTTGTTTCTGAACACACCAAGTACATTCCCACTTCAGGGGATATACTCGCTGTCCCCCACCCTGCTCAGGACACATGGCTCACCCCCTTACCTCCTCCACATCTTTGCCTGAATGCCATATTACCAAGGAGTCTTCCATGATCAGCCTATACGAACACCCATGTAAAACCTCCCTGCCCCTTTTCCTTCCCTGCTTTGCTTTTTCCTCTGTGTTCATCATCATTACCGTTTGCAGTACTTTACATTTGTTGTTAATTGTCTTATTCTGTGTCATCCCCTAGAAGAGAATTAGCTTTTCAATGACAGGAATTTTAGTCTTTATTATTTATAGCTGGACTGCATATTGCCAGTAACAATGCTTGGCACAGAGTTGGTGCTTAATAAAAAATGATGGAATGAATAAATTATCTGCTCTCTTTCCTTGGAAACTGGAGCTAACAGTATCTATCCTGCAGTTTTCCTGTGTGCATCAGTGATAATGCATAGAAAGCTGTTAGCTTGGCACATAGTAGTTGCTTAGGAAATTATTAAACTTTTTAAAGTAAGGTATAAACCTAGAACACACCCTGCTTTCCAAACATTTATGGAGAAATAACCTGTTATGTATAAGGTAATAGATGTGCAGGATGTAAAAGTAGAGAAGGTACTGTCTTTATCCTTACAGATGCAACCAGATAAATATGGGGACTATTTTGCATGCTCAGTACTCCAAATTCTTTCAGGAATCAAAATTAGATTCCTAGAGTGACTCTAAATATCTCAAGGGCTGAAAGGAAGCCTTTTCAATAACAAATAGGATATTCACTTCTAAATTTCTCCTCTGCAAAAATGCTTTTAAACATTAGAGTAATGCATATTTCTTTCTCTAAATCATATTCTTTTCTAGGAATCTGCACATCTCTAGAACGCGTAGATCATGAACTTGCAGACTTCTGATGACCCTAAGGTCCAAATCTCTGTCTCTCTATATGGTACTTACACCCCTCACATCGCTATACAATCAGTATATGTGTACATCTATATCTACCTATGTACACACACTGAGATATAAATACTTTTATTATGAAACATTAGAAGTCCACAAAAACAACATAGAAAAAATATAATGAGCCCACCAGTATAACTTAGAACTGACTTTTATCTAACTTTAACATTTGATAGCTGGTTTGATTAAAAAATGTTTCCTAGTAGATTAAATATCACAGATGTTTTTCAATACCACCATTCTATTCTCCCTTCTTTTTCTCACCATAGATAATCCTGAATTTGTTGTTTTTCATTATTGCAACTTTATTTTTTTAACTTTTACAACTACTAAATCCTGGATATAGATCATAGATATGGTTTCCTTAACAATCAGATTCATATTAAAACAAAACAAAACAAAACAAAACAAAATTAGAATTAAAATTCTATTTAAAATTCTATTTCATTTAAAATTCTCGATGTCTACCTGCTTTTGAAAAATCAGGACACCTGGCCAGTCTTTTGGATTGGCCATGTTTCTGGATCAGGCAGCCAGCTGGAACTGGGAGGTGGCCTGTCCTCATCAGCACAGTTGTATTTAATGTCTACTAAGGGTCTTCATGCCTATTTCTTTCATTTATATTTATCAGGGCTCTGTAGATATTTGCATTTGTAATTTCTCTTCTCTGCACTTTAACCCATTCAAAATAGTTTCCTTCTTATTTATCTTCTGCTTCATTTCTATGTTAATTTATCTTGTTGTGTGTTTCTGCTTTGAATTTTTGTTTAAAAGATGGAAATAAAATGTGTACTTTCCCTTTCACATTGTCACCAGTGACTAGTTGACCTAACTTCACAAGTTGTGGGTCTATTCCCCCCCCCCTTTTTTTCTCGAGTTGAATGCAGTGAGTAATAACTCTTTCCCTTAGCATTTCTTTTTTAATGGAACTGTTGTCATTTGGAGTTAGAGTCTATATTCCCTTTGTCATCTCTTGAAATTTCCCTTTTAAATTATTACACTAAATCCTCATGCTTATAATCCCATATAATCTGTACTTTGTTAATCTGGTATATATTTTATTCCATCTTTGTCATCAAAAGGAATTCTGAAGCCAGGAATGGGTAATGAGTTAAGGGAAAAATGCACGATTTCATACCGCCAGGCCTTTGTGGAGAAAATTAGGTCCAATAACAAAGAATTATATATTTTAATTATTCATTTTACTTTGAGAATAGTTAATGAACATCTGGGAAAGTACAATACTCTTAATTTATGATAATGTCTGTTATAAATGCTACACTCTTTATTGAATACTAAGGACAGATAAATGGAAGGTTGGGAAAATATCCACATGTGCATTTTCCTAATACACCGTACCTGCAACATTTCCCTTCTGCAGCATCAGACTATCCTAGACGAATGTATTTATTTGGCAGCAAACCAAGAAATCACTGCTGATTTTATTCCCTTGTAGAGCTGTATACAGGTTCTTTTCAGCTTCACAGTTCAATGACAGCAGTCACAAATTCTCAAATACTCATCATGGCCATGGAAAATAGTATACCACATTGTGATTTTCACACTGCTTTGAAAGGCAAGTACATTCCTGATCCAGTCCCTCCCTAGGTCCTCATGGGCAAATTTTTAATTTTTTGCTTTCACAATTTTAGTTTTAGGTAACCTCTGCTGGGTGGAATTGTATAATTTTTCATTAGCTTTTACTGGAAACACATAAAGAAAAAGAATGAATTACCATAAATAAAATAGAAAAATAAGAAAACATACAAAGGTGATTTTAGATTCTCTTTAGTTTCTTTGGAAAAAGGAGGACTTAATTCCACTAAGTGCTCTTGGTGACATTACATGTTGTCTCTCTGCTCTTCATGAGGAGATAGAGCCCTTAGCGGCAGACTTGTCTTACAGCATAAATGCTTTTGTCGATTGTGTATTTTCTAAAAATTCTACGTTTGAATGAAAAAAAAAATGTGCCTTTTAGAAGTATAAACCAAAATGTGACTTCTGTCAAGAATTGAGGGCCATCTTGCTTTGTGTTATAGAGCAAATTGATGTGGTCCAGAATATATGTCACTCCATGCAAAGTGTGGGCATATAAAACATAGAATACACATTTTAGTAAAGTTATGCTACTTTAATTATCGCACTAATTGTATGGCATTACAGGGACATAGAGAGTCAAACTGAAAATTAAATGCACCCCCAAAGGAAAGAGACACACCAACTTTGTTTGAAAAGAAATGGTATTTATTAAGAAATTATATGCTGAGTTCTCCTACAGTCTGTGAAGATGGTTTCTTCCATTTCCACAGCACATGACAACAGCAAAGAGCATCTGGAAAATACTTGCAATGCTTGGGAATGGAGCGTTCCTAGTAATAGGAGATGAAATGAAGTGATATACGCACTATTTAAACTTTCAGAACCAAAGACAAGACAATCTTTTCCTTGCCAATATAGTTTTCAGCTGTATTGGCACTAAAACCTGTCCATGGGATCTCCTACCCAGACTGAAGGATTGGGTAAGGACTGGATCATTTCAGTTGAGTAGAGAATGCTCAATTTAATCACAGGTCAAAGCAACAGAGTCCTTTAGCTATGGAATCACAACTGAAATATCTGCATTCTTAATAAAAATGGTGCTTATGGGGGGCAGAAATAGAACATTTTCAAGTATTTTATCATTATGATCGGAAGTACTTTAAACTATAAATTAAAAATAAATTATGAAAACTAGCTTATGATGTATCTTTTCTTACATGACATTATTGGAGATAAGCTTTAAACATAGAATTGCAATATCACCTGACTTTATATATGATCAACAGTAAAACATGCTAATCATAAAAATAGCTTTTACAAATATACATTTGTATACAGTGTCTCCCTTACCATTCATAAATGTCCTTTCACATTTTAAGACTTTTAAGACTTAAAAAAACACAACATAATTAGCAAAGGGGAAAACACATTTACAATCTAAACCATAAAAACTTGACTATTATATAGCTTAAAACATAGAAGAAATGGAATTTCTAAAATTGAACAATACTGTCCATTTCATTTATTTGGGTATTTTTTTTTTTAATAAATTGAACCAAAGATGCTGCTATCCAGTAAGAAACCTCCTTTCACATTTCTGGGGGTTGTCACAGTTTCTCTTTTCTGCTTTTGTGGCATCATTCATTACTTCAGATCACTTTATCTGTAGAAACTGAGAAAAGAAAAAAAAGTATTTTAAAATATTGAGATTTAGGTTTCATTGTTGATAACATGCATATATGTAAGTTCGATTTAAGTTAGAATTCAGGCTGAATCAGGAGATGATTAAAAAAGAACTAAATCTTTAAGAAAAATCCTTTTGAGAACTTTTGAGATCCTTTTAGATCCTTAAGAAAAATCCTTTAGATCCTTTGTCTTAGATCCTTTGTTGTAGACAATGCTAAAATTATTCACACTTATAGTATGCTGTAATTTTAAAAAATTCAGTCCATTTATTGCCTGAGATCAGCAATTATCTTGACCAAGAGCTCTTGACCAAGTCAGAGGGGAAACACTTGAAGCTCTAGGCTGGGGAAAGAGATTTGGGTTGCTTTTGAATTTTTGTGGCTCCTCAGGAGAGTGACCATGGGATACTTTTCCCCTGTAAGAGGCTTTGAACGGTGCAGTCCTAAGCCTAATGCACCTGGGATAGGAGAAAAAGCAGTACAGATCTCTGATCTGAGTTATGTATCTTTGGTTATAAAAAAGAAAGCTAGATGTGAGGCACCTGGCTCAGTTGGTTAAGCCACTGTTTACAGGTCACACATACCTGTATTTCTAAAAATGAAAATGTCATTCAAATGTGTTCATGCAGTTGCAAGAAGTGTTCATGTACATAGAGTCAATTAATCTTCGAAGCACAAAGTTTTGAACTTACAGTACAAAGCAGGCATGCCCAGGGTTGTGTAGTATAAAGGAAGTTTTACACATTCCCTGTATGCACGTACCCAAAATGATCCATTACCAACGTGAAAATGAAAACCTTAGTAAATACAATTAAATTGTACTTGTAGAAAGATGCAGACATGTGAACATAAGATATAGTGAGTTTGGGTTTGGATTGATAACACTTGTGTGCAGGGAGGAACTAAAGCTTTTTCTTTATATGATTGCAGTCGCCCTCTTTCCTACAAGGCCTTCATTGATCGCTCTTATTACAGATGGAACATGCTTAAACTGCTGCAGCAGCTGTGTACATACAGTTTACTAATTATTGTGTTTCTTCAGGTTAAGTTGTGGAGGATGACATTAATTTAGTATATTCTTACACCATCTTGCTTGCCTCAAAAGAGGTAATGAATGGCTGTTTAGCAACTATCCATTTTAAGAAGAAAAAAATGGCCTGCAGACTTTTTGTGCATATTCCATTATCCCTGGTATGATTTTTCTTTACCCCTCCCTTTGCTCCTTGATTGTAAATGATTACATAAAAATAATTATCCTGGGAAGAAGAAAAGGAGGTTTGAAAATAATTTATTGAAGTCTTACTTCCTTACCATAAAGCTTCAAAGCATTTGCCTGTCCCTAGTACTAAACAAAAGCTTCATTAACTTTGCATTGTGAAGTAGGTGTTATTAACCATATTATGCATACAAGTAATGAATATAATTCTCCTTAAAAACAATGGCAAAATATATTCACTATGCTTTCCATAGATCTTCTAGTCCTAGAAAAGGATTGCTTTTGCTTCTAAAGGCACAGGAGAAAGGGGACAACTATGACATTCTTGTTGCCTTTTTTCTCAAGAATGACAGTCATTTAAGGAGCTGATTGGTTTACTATAATGCGAAACTAATTGTGCTTTCCTTCCTTGAATAGTGGGTAATTTATCTAGTGGCTATATGGGAGCCTGGATGCTTTTAAAACAAATTATCCTGATGATGAACGCTTTTCTAACTCTCAATCTCTCCCATTTCTGAAAAACAACAAAAAGCCACTCAGATGGGCCTGGATTGTACTGAACCAAGCAATTTACTTCTCCTTGACAAAGATAAAAAGGATAGTATTAATCTAAGAGAAGGCACATTTAATTTTAAACCTCATGAATTCATATATATATATATATACACACACACACACATACATATATACACACACACACGCATATATGTAAGACTGATTTACAACATTATATTAGTTTCCGGTGTACAACATAATAATATACTACAAGGTGATCACCACAATGAATCCAGTTACCATCTGTCACCACACAATTGACCTTCTTCAGCCTTTTTGCCCCCAAGACTCCTTTCCCCCTCTCTAACCACCAATCTATTTTCTGTATCTATGAGTTGTGTTTTATTCCTTTTTCGTTTTTTATATTCCAAATATAAGTGAGATCACGTGCATGGTATTTGTCTTTCTCTGTCTTATTTCACTTAGCATAATACCTTCAAGGTACACTCATGTTGTTGCAAATGGCAAGATTTCCTTCTTTTTTTATGGCTCAATAGCATTGGGTATATCTGTATCTATATCTATAGATCTAGATCTAGATCTATAGATATAGATATAAGCTTGTTTCCATTCTTAGCTATTGTAAATAATGTTGCAATGAACATAGGGGTGCCTATAGCTTCCTGAATTAGTGCTTTCATTTTCTTCAGATAAATACCTAGAAGTAGTATAGCTGGATCACATGGTAATTCTATTTTTAATTTTTTGAGGAACCTCCATGTTGTTTTCCACAATGGCTGCACCAATTTATGTTCCTACCAACAGTGCACAAAGGTTCCCTTTCTCTACGTCCTCTCCAACACTTGTTCTTTTTCTTTCTGATAATAGCTGTTCTAACAGGTGTGAGGTTATATCTCATGTGGTTCTTATTTGCATTTCCCTGATAATTAGTGAGGCTGAAGATCTTTTTATAGGTATAGCAATATGTGGAATAAATACACTTTATTAACAGCTCTACAGAAATCATATTTTTAAAGATATCTTCTGACTTTTTAAAAGATTTCATGTATTTATTTGAGAGAGAAGAGTGAACGAGCAAGAGACAGCAAGCACGAGCTGGGGAGGAGTAGAGGGAGAGGGAGAAGCAGACTTCTAGCTGAGCAAGGAGCCAGATGCAGGGCTCCATCTTGAGACCCCGGGATCATGACCTGAACCTAAGGCAGATGCTTAAGCGACTGAGCCACCCAGGTGCCCCAGTCTTCTGACTTTTTAATATCAGAAATGCTTCTGTTATTTTTTTCTAATTGAGATTTTTTAAAAAAGATTTCATGTATTTATTTGACAGAGACACAGTGAGAGAGGGAGCACAAGCAGATGGAGTGAGAGAGGGAGAAGCAGGCCTTCCACTGAGCAGGGAGCCCAATGTGATGCAGGGCTGGATCCCAGGACCTGGGATCATGACCTGAGCTGAAGGCAGACACTTAATGGCCGAGCCACCCTCTAATTGAGATTTATAACTAATAACTAATTGGAGAAATATAGATAACCTACATTGTTAGATAATATCTATAAAAGCAAAAAAAGGTGAAAGAAAATATGTGGAAAACATAGGCTATATAACATTTTACAGAAAGTCAGTCTTTGAAAAGAAATGATCCATATTTGCTGACATCACTGGTCATGTTTATTGAGTAACTCTTCAGCCATTCACTTTTTATAGACAATGCGAATACATGTGGCTTTTACAAATCCTTTATTACAAATGAGATACAATTCAATTCAAATTTCTAAATAATGCAAACAGATTCATGGCTGCTACTGTTCATTATAAGTTAAACTTGCCTTCTATTAATAAGCTCTTGGGACCAAAATTGCATTATATTTTAAGACTAAAAGAATCATATCACAAAAACCATAAATGGTATGAAAACTGAGATGGCTACTAACTCTCTGAGATGGCTACAAGTAGAGGAAACTGCTCCATTATGTAGTTCTTAGGGGCTTAATAGTCTCCGTTCCTGAGTTGATGGCCATTTAGGATGTAGGGGATTTGGGCATACAGGAAACACAGGCAAAGACAAACATGTAGTAGCCCATCAGAAACTTGGAAATAAGACAAGCAGTCTGCCTCTGAGATTTTTACTCTAAAATCAAGACTTAAATGATGATGGTAGAGAATATGCACAATGTCACTTAAGAGAGGCAGTTTCTAGGTCTTTGGGTCTTGACTAGAATGCAACTGAAACTTATTAAATCTGCCAAAGAAAAGTGTTGATCTACAAGAGACTTGTTTGACAATGCAAGTACAGAAAAATAGGAGTCTTGAGGTTACCATCTTGGGGGTTATGGGACTGAGGCTTGCGTAGAGTTCCATGCTCAGCATGCAGTCTGCTTGTCTCTCTCCCTCCTGCTCTGTCCCTTCCCTTTCTTTCTCACTCTCTCAAAATTAATAAGTAAAATCTTAAAAAAAAAAAAAAAAAGGAGAATCTTGGAGGGTAACTTAGTTGTTCCCATTCAGGAGAATGTGTTCTCCACAGGAGAAGAAGACATCCAAGTCCTAGAAGAGAACCAACCAGGCCTGTGATGACATGTGGACAAATTGGTCAATATCAGAACACTCAATCAGCTCTTCACAGGCAAAACTTCTGATTATAATTCTTAACAGTTTGTCTTTGGGAAGAGAATGCTCAGACCATAAGACACAAGACTGAACTTCCTTTCAAGGATAGGTCCCACTATAAATTCATAAACAGATCGTCTGATAGTACCAGATTATTATTTTTCATTTGTCTGAGGTACTGTTCTACTCCCAGTGTGCTGACAGATAAGTTCTGTGAGCCTATGAGGTTACAAATCCTTATGGCTCTGCCTTGCTGGCTGTCTCTCATGGCTTCTCAGTACTTGCCATGTATATCTCAAGGTCTTTCCTAGAGGCAATATTTATAAAGCTACATGTCAAGAAATATAGAACATCATTGAATTTGAGCAATAAGCGATCAGGAATTATCTAACCCTCTCCTGTTATAATAGGTGAAGATACGAAGGCCCAGACAGTTTGAAAGACATGACCAGGTATTTGGTGGAAACCCTAATGAGACCCAGAATCTTGACTGCGATCAATAAATTTTTCCATTACATGTTTGGTTCTCAAACTTCAGTGAACCTCAGAATTACTGAGTGGCCATAGTAAATCATAGTAAATCAGATTACTAAATTTCTGATACACTAATATATGGTCTGAATGTTTGTATCTCTTCAAGGTTCATATGTTGAAAT